ACCCCCACCCCCACTTCCCACCTCGCCGCCGCACGGGAGAGGCAGCCCAGAGATCCTGGCACTTGCTGGCCCCGTGGTCCTAGAGGCGCTGGGTTTGAGGACCCCGCCCGACTAGGAAAGGAGCCTATGAGCTCGGGGCAGCGGGGACCGAGACTTGGTGGTTGGAGAGCAACCGAGACGCGTGCACCGAAGGCTACCTGGAGAGGCCGGTCGCGGCCAGGAGACAGCGGAGGACCTGACCGAGACAAAGAGAAGCGGGACCGGGCGCCATGCGACCCGACCGTACCTCCAGGTCCTCTCCGCGGCCGAGAGGCGGCCCTGCCAGGACACTACGGCCGGAGCATTGAGCCCGGCGGCGTCGGTGCAGCCCCTTCTCGCCCCATTTCCAGGAGATGCTCCAGAGCCCCGGCGGGCACGGAATTGAGCGCCCCGGGCAGGGCTGCGGCGGAAGGGGTCTGCGGGCAGTTCGAGGGCGCGGGTCTCGAGGGCTGTGATAGAGCTCTCCGCTGGCCGGCACGTTGCCTGGCTGCCTCACCGCCCACGCAGCCATTCATTCATTCATGCATCCGTCTCTTTATCCATCCATAGTCTGTCCTTCAATCCACCCGACTATCCACGCCAGAAGGTGCGCTGAGCGTGGGGATCGCACAGATGTGTCAGACCTGGCTCTCCCTTCTGTTTGTCTGCCTCTTCTTGGACCCCACCTCCATTTCCTCCTAGGCCTCCCGCATCTGTTCTGGCAGGAGGGGAGCAGCGCACCTTCCTCACCTCTCTCACACTCGGGTTTTGCTGCTCGGTGATCGCCCGACCCTATCTCCCCATCCTCCTCCCACCCTGCCCCTACTAAAGTCTCCGTACACCCCAACCCTGCCCCTAATTACGCGCCAGACATGCAGGCATGAGCAAGGGTGGGTGTGGGGGCGCCCTCTGCCCTTGTTTGCCTGGCCCTGCGTGAGGCGGGGGAGGGGGGCTCCTTGGAGGGCGCGGGCGGCTGACAGCATACTTCCAGTCCTCTGCTAAGTGCCCCTTCAGCCCGGCCCCCTCTAGCTGGGGGAGGGGAGCGGACCTCCCGGTACCCCAATGGCCTGAACCAAAACCAAACCCATTGCCGTCGAATCAATTCTCGTTTCCAAAAAGCAGCTGGTGGATTCCAGCTGCTGACCTTTTGGTTAGCAGCCAAACACTTAACTACTGTGCCACCAATGGCCTGAAGTCACTACTAAACCTACCACTGGGGCAGTGTCAATAGGAAAACTTCAAAAAAATACAGACTCCTGGGCTCTAGCCCACATTGAATCAATCCAAATGCCCAGGGCCTTTGCAGTCCTATTCCTTCTGCCTGGGAATGGACGTTTTGACAGCCAGGCTTGGGAACTACTGGCCTGGACCGTCTTACAACTACCCAGACTACTTAGGGCTGCTGCCCAAGGCCTGGCATTTCCCACAGCTTCCACAGGCCCAGGACAGCAGGCCTCACCACTAGAAAGAAAGCATCTGGTTGACCCCTGGCTTACCTGGTAAGGATGCAGCAGAAACACAGAGGCAGACTACTGGGCCCCCCTCCCAGCCAGCAGGCCCCTGGGCAGCCCCGGGTCCTCTGTGGGCTCAGATCTCCCTGCCTTTAAAATGCGGGGGCTCCTTAGTCTCTACCATCAATCAATATCTGGCCTGGGAACCAGAGTCACTCAGTCCAGGATCTATTGGGTGGGCCAGGGGAAGAAGGCTGTGAGGTCATTAAGGCTGGAATCCCTGCTGGGGGCCACCAACCCAGTCACAATCAACCTCTTAGCCCTCATCACAGTGACTGTTGACCCCTACTCTAAGCCTCAGACTGTCCCTGTTACATCCTGACTCCTCCTCCATGCAGCTGCCCACAAGGCCCAACACTGGTGTGAGCATGAAGATGGCAGTGTGTGCCCATTCCCCTGGAGGGTAGGGACAGGCTCCCTCAGTTTCTGAATGATCAGAAGAAAAACAAGTCTTCACAATACCGTAAGGTTGCAGACCCTACTCAGTCAGCACCCCCCAACTCACATCCCACCCTCCCCCATCACTCACCACATTCCAGCCAGCCACACTGCACCGCACTGTTCCTTGAATTCACCAGACACATTCCTACCCTAGAGCCTTTGTACTTACTGGTCCCTCTGCCTGGAATGCTCTTCCCTACATTCTAATATATAATCTAGGTAGTTATATATTTTTGACTGTTTGCTCACTGGTATATCCTTAGTGCCTGGAACGGTGCCTGACACAGAGTAGACGTTCAGTAAGTATTTGCTGAGTTCATGAATGAATAAATGAATGAGGCTGATCCAAGTCCTCCTCCTGTGAGTCTGGCCCAGCCCAGAGCTATCTCCTCTGAACCAGCAGCCCCTTAGGAAACAACGGACAGGATAGACAACATCCCTGTCTTGGATAGGTCACAAAACCCGGTGAAGGTCACTCAGGGAGAGCTGTTCATGAATTACAGGGACATGTCCTGGGGGTCTACTGTGGGCAGCTGGTCAAAAGGAGAGCAGTCTTTCACCTGTTCCAGGGACCTCTGTTGTTCCTCAGACAACACACACAGCAAGACCAGCTGACCCCCACCTGACGGTAAGTTTCAAGAGAGGTCTTGCTCACCTCTGCCAAGCATAGTGCCTGGCACACAATAGGTGCTGATAAATATGTATTTATCAAATAAATGAATGGAGTGGCAGATTCCCAACTGAGTCTGCATGGCCTACAAACCCATGCTTGTTCTGCCAGATCCTACCAACAGGAGTCTGTGGGGGGGTCACGGCAGCAGTGCCTAGCACATAGTAGGTGCTCCATAAATGTTGGAGCTGGCTGGATTCTGCCACCAAGTGAGTCCTGCCCCAGGCTCAGCCAGGGAGAAAGTACCCCCTGCTTGGCTGGCAGGAGAGCTCTGTGAGGTGGGGCATGGGGCTCCCTGGTGAGATGCAGCTGTACTCAACAGAGCCTGGGCCTGAACAAGTCGGCCCTCGTGTGCCTAGCACCCTCTGAATAGCCACTTTCATGCAAAATATGTGTCCAAATGCCATTTTAGGGTTAAATAACTAAACATGAGATGGGGAGGGAGGCTGAGGAGGAAGGGTGGGTGGAAGGCTGGGGATCACAGGCAGGTGCTGGGGTAGTAGAGGACAAGGCCCACTGACTGGGTGCCAGGAACAAGACTTAGCCAGGGGCAGTGAAGAGGGGGCATGGGCCCCATCCACCAGGCACGGCAGGTGCCACTGATCCCCAGAAGTCACAGTCAAGGCCAGCCCCTGGGGTAACTCCCAGGCCCTCCTGGGCTGGGGTGCCATGCTTCTCCATGGAGGGGACAGAGTACAGGCTTGGGGACATAAGCAGGCTAGGTTTTAATACATGTTTATTAAGTAGTGGGGCAGACATCTCAAATCTCAGTCTCTCCCCCAGGTTGGTCGCTCTCCCCATTTCAGAGACAGGGTCTCTGAGGTCCAGAGAATCGCCTTGCCCAAGGTCCCATAACTTGAGTGTGGCAGAAGCATCCTCCTATCCACTGGGCAAATAATTATGGAGCACCTACTTTCACCAGACACTGCTCTATGTGTTGGGGATTCAGAGCAGGGAATGAAATGGAGCTTACGTTCTAGTTGGGGAGACAGACAAGCAATTGAATGAATGAAAGTATGCAGCATGTTCAATGTGGAAGTGTGCTGTGACCAAACAGATAAAGGCGCTGGGAG